GGATGCTGAGATGGAGTCTCCTGAAAGGCTAGGAACCCTGAGAGGCTAGGCTCTGTGCCTCAACTTCCCCACCCAGTCAGTCCGGGTGCCGATTCCTGCCATTTGGTGCTAGTAACCACAGTGAGAGGAGACCCAAGGACCATCCTCTCCCTCCTTTGAGTATGAATTCTCTTGTTGCTGATGAACCTGAGAGCAGAGGTGGTTGAGCATTGATCTATGAACCAGGAGGTGAGGATTCAATTCCCAGCCAGGGCACGTGCCCTGGTTGTATGCACGATCCCCAGTGTGGAGTGTGCCAGAGGCAGCTACTCAATGACTCTCTTTCATCATTGATATTTCTCTCTCCCTTCCTCTCTGAAATCAATAAAAAAATGTTTTTTTAAAAAAAGAGGGAGAAGCAAAAGACTTGAAGTAACTTACAGCAGCCCCTGCTCCAGACACTCTAGGCTGGACTGTGGTGAGACTCCAACCCTCCCCCCATCCCCCCCCTTCCCCCCCCCTCCCCTCTCCCCCACACCCTCAGCCCATAGCTTCCAGCCTCTGGTTCCCAAAGGAAAAAGACAGAGGAACTTACTGAAGTTCATGTGCTCTCACGCTGGCAAGAGAAGGGACTTTGAATCATTATGCAAATAGCCTAATAAAAAGCCAAAGCCTGTGCTGCCTGGGGGACCTGTGAATGGGAGGTTAGCTGTCAGCAGGCCCGGCCTGGGAGTCAGGTGGAGTCACTGGTCACGGAGCAGCAGCCGGGACTTGGTCTGGTTGCCTTTGACATTAACTTCCATTGGCCTCCAGCCCAGCTCCTCAGCTAGAGCCTGTCCTTAAAGTTTCCGGCAGGACAGAAGGAAGGAAGGGAGGACACAAGGTGGGCCATGCCTGGGTTATCCTGTGCTGGAAATAAAACTCAGTCTAGTTGTAAAAATCAAGGAAAGACTGGGACTTTTCCTTCTCTGTCTTCATTTGGCTCATGATTATGGATCTGCATGCATCCTATCTGCACCTGGAATTTCTCTCCTAGATTCCTGGATAGAATGGGGGCATCGGGGAAGGGAAGTTGGGGGGGAGAGGGTGTCCTCAGCATATCTCTCACCTTCTCTCGCTGCGAGGGAGGTGCTTTCATCTCTGCCTCAGCTGAGCTGTTTGGGGGTGCAGAGACCTCTGCTCAAAGTTAATATCAGCAGAGCCATCACGTGGCAACGTTCTGACCACATCCCTTGCCGCTTAACTGATATGCACATGGAAACTAACCTTTGACTTAATCTGCAAACAAATGTTTGAAGATTCATCTGCTAGTTTAGAACATGAAAAGAATATAGAAATATATAAACATCTGCATATACACTGAGTGGCCAGATTATTATGATCTCTGAACACATAATAGTCTGGCCACTCAGAATGTGTGTGTGTGTGTGTGTGTGTGTGTGTGTGTGTGTGTGTGTATTAGAGGCCTGGTGCATGAATCGTGCATGGGTGGGGTCCGGCCAGCCTGGCCAGGGTGAAGGGACATGAGCTGTTGGTTGGCCGGCCTGCCTGCTGGTCGAACTCCTAGTTGAGGGGGGAATTTGCGTATTAGCCTTTTTTTATATAAGATATACTCTGAGTGGCAAGATTATTACGCATTCAGAGATAATAATTTAGCCACTCAGTGTCTATGTACATGTATGTAACAAATCCTAAAATAAGGGAAGTGTTTTAAACTAGTGGATTCACAGCAATGCACACAGTGCATTGCTGCCTACATGATATGTGAACAGCAATAGGAGCAGATGCTGGCTGCCTACTATGTTGATGATCTAGGCCCCAAGGCCTCCACCCCTGTTGGCATGGCCATTTGATGGAGCCTTATCTGTGCCACCTACAGGCCTGAATGCTAGAGCAGAGAGGGGACTGAGGCCCAGGGGAACAAGGCCAGGTTTGAGAAGGACAGTGGACACGGATGAGGGAAGTCAGCTCCAGACCCTAGAAGGCCCATGGAATTCGCATCTCAAAATCTATGGATTATCTGCAAGCTTGCTCATTTTGGACCTTGGTTACTTTGAAATAAGCACCAGTTTGGAAAGGGCTGATCTCACTGGTTTTATCTGTCCCCCTGTCCCGTCCCATCTCCAACCCACAGTTCCCAAGTCATTTCTCAGCATTGTGAGTCCTTAGAAAGGATTTACTGTGTCCTGAGACCGTTAGGCCCTTGGTTTAGGTATTTCATTTATGTGATCTCATTTTGTCTTTATTGGAAGTCTATCAGGTTAGGCAGTATTTTCGCCCTCATTCTGCAGTGGAGGAAACGAACTTGTATCAGGGGAGGCACAAATGAGCTTGGATTGGAACTCGGAGCTCTCTGAGATTGTGCTGTTGGTTACAAGAGACACCAGAGTTACCCCCAGAGAGTTCATCCTAATTGGCGAGTGAATGGTAGTGATTAGGTACCCAGACAGCAGATCTGAATTTGAATCCCAGATCCCTTTCATTTGCTGTGTGAGCTGAGCAAGTTACTGCATGTCTCTGAATATCCATCTTCTTATCTGAAAAAATAGGGATGACAGTGGTACATCCCTCATAGAATTGCTGGGAGGGATAAATTACATTCCTCATGTAGAGTGTACAGTGTTTTGTACTTAATCAATGCTATGATCATTGCCTGCTGCTTTGATCTGTTTTTGAGAATAAGGACACAGGATGGATTATAAGTGAGGTGCCAGATTGGGTAGGAAAAGGGTCCCACACCAAGACAAGGGCCTCATTGGCCATGGGTCTCTGCTGGCTCCCTGGGCTAGCAAGGGATCATGGGAAGGAACACTCATGCAATGTGGTCAGCACTTCTATGGGTACATATGGCCATCTGCTTGGCTCAGGGCTACACTGCCACTTGAGGAGTTACCCTGGCCTGAGCACTCCGGTAATGGGGCCAAAGGGGATGCCCATATGCTGAGCCATTTCCCTGCTGGGAGTCAAGAACCATGTGGCTTCCTCTGGACCAGTACTCATTGGCTGGAGGACCAGAACATCCTGACTCTCCGGCCCACTCTTCCCAGCATTCAGCAGGGCAAAGGACCAGGGCTTCTGAAAATCTAATCACGGAACCAATGAGGGCTTCCTTTCCCAGGGGCAACTAATGGGACAAAGAGTTAGCCCAGGGCTGGGCACCATAGGATTAGGGAGCCCCCACTCCTAACAACCTGGACTCAGCACGTCTTTAAAAGAATAACTAGTCTTCATCTAAATGAAAGGATAAGTATAGAATCAAAGTCAATCAAAGAAGTTATTAAACACCAGGGAATTGAGTCACTCGGATGAGAGTGAGCTTGCCTAGTGAGCAGTGAGAACCGTTAGCCTCAGACAGGAGTGATAGCAGGGAGTCCCAGGACAAGAGGGTGGGCAGCTGGAGCAAGAGCAGAGTTCTAGGAGTTCTAGAAAACAAGCCCATGAGAATGGGTTTGCTGTTGGCTGTGAGGAGGGGCTCCGGGGATATCTGAGCAGGGGCTGCGGCAGGGTGACAGTCTCATTGATAACCTCAGAGAGCGCGCGGTCTGACCAGGGAAATGCGAGGACGGGAAAGGTGAGAGCGTGGGAATGTGTCATTGCCGAGGATATGCGAGGGGAAACCCCTGGTCACAGCCGGGACACACAGAAGCGTGAGGGGTTCTGGGGTAAACCTGGGCTTTCTCTTTTTGTGATGTGGCCACGTGACTAAGTTCCCTTTGATTGTGACCTGGCTTCTGAAGGGAACTTCTGTTCCCGATGCATTCAAACTGCTTTTGCATGCTTTACTCATCTGTACTGTCTCATCAGTGACTCCTTCTCAGTGTGCCACCCATAAACACCATAACGAACACTGATGGGGTGTCACGTAGCATGTGCCAGAGATGTTGTGTTTTTCGTGTATTAGTCCATCCCATCTTCACAATGGTAGATTGTATAGGTCAGAATTAGTTAGCGTTTACCACCTTTTCTGAAAATGGTCACCTCCACTTGGTGTAGTTTTGTGATCTGGTGAGCACCACAGCCCCACCTGTGACCCGGGGGCCCTGTGGCTTGAGGGGACTTGGAACAATGGGAGAATCTCATGCACACGCTTCTGTTGGTAGAAGACCTCTGGAAACACCAGGCCTCCTTCCTCAGCCCATGACCTCCACGCACCTGTATCAGGTGACAGGCCAGTCGGAGTGGGAAACAGCAACCTTTTTCAGAAGGTCCCCGGATGGACTCTCCCATCCACATAGCTGAGCCTCCACCCTCACCCCTGGGCAGGAGGAAGGCAGGGGGCTGTCATCTCAAGGGGTGCCATGAGAATGCCCGATGGAGCCCTCTGTCCCGGGGAGCGAGCGGCCTCCCATCGGAATCCTGGGTGTGCAAAACACACTCACACATCCTGGGCAGCTCTTAACGCATGCTGCTGAGCAGTTCTTAACATGCTAGGCACCTGTCCCTAGATCTTCTCATTCGCCCCACTTATCAACTCTGCAAAAGCTATTCTTTTTCCTGTTTACAGATAAAGAAACCAAAATTAGCTGCGGCCCCACCCTTCCCCTGTGTGACCCTGAGCTAAATACATAAGCTCTCTGGGTGGGTCTCTCGGGCCTCACCTGTGAAATGAATGCTCACACTCACTCCCCTAACACCCCCCCCCCCCCAGCTTAACTGTCCCCTCACAGCTGGTCAGAGGCATTTCAGCTTCTGCCTGGCTGAGCCCAGTGTGCCAGCACCACCCATGCTCACTGAGTATCCAGGTTTCTGGGCCTCCTGCTCCCACCATCCTTTCAGCAAATGAACACAGGCCTATGGACACCCCCCCACCCCAACTTCAGTGCCCTAACTCCCCTGTCACCCAGAGTGACCCGCCAAGAAACCATCCAGTTTGCATATGGGTTGACTTGCTCTGAGTGTGAGTCAATCAGCATCCGACGAGTGGCCCGGGCCGCCCTGCCAGCTCAGAGGAAGCGCAGGTGAGGAGTGGCTCTGTGCCAGGAGTGACTCTGGGCTTTCTCTCTCCTTCTCTGGCCCTCCAGGAGGCTCTCTCGGTGGTGAGCGACGACCAGTCCCTCTTCGACTCCACGTACGGAGCGGCCCATCTCCCCAAGGCCGACATGACCGCCTCCGGGAGTCCTGACTACGGCCAGCCCCACAAAATCAACCCCCTCCCGCCGCAACAGGAGTGGATTAACCAGCCGGTGAGGGTCAATGTCAAGCGGGAGTACGACCACATGAATGGATCCAGGTAAGCCCACCAGGATCATACGTGTCTCCAAGGTCAGGTGCGGGGCTGGGGGGAGGGGGAGGAGGAGGGCTGGAGGCATGCTTGCTGCCCGTGTCTGCGTAGGCAGCTCTGACCTAAGTGGTTTCTGGCACTAGGGTTCCTGCAGCAGGTGAGGTTCTCGCTGGTGCTGAGCCAGGAGCCTCAGTGAAATGATAGAGAGAGAGAAAAAGAGAGTGAGAGACCCCAACGTGAGGGCTGTGGGCGGAGCAGGGCTGGCCAGCCCACTTGGCTTCCTGGGGTAGGCCTGTGACCTCCTCTGCAGACGCTGTGGAGGCCCAGATACAGCCCCTCGGTGGGGGAGGGAACACTTTCCCATATCACTTGCTTCCACCACTCTCCTAGGAGGTAGATGCAGGAATTCCATCTTGACATAAAAAGACACGTGAGCGGAGGGGTCAGTGACTTGTCTAAGGATTTAGAGGAGGCAACGCGGCATAAGAACCCAGGCTTGCTGGCTCCTGGCCTGGGGGCCCCTTCCCTCCCGCTAGGCCTGGTGTGGTGCGTCTGCGTGCCCCCTCTCATGACTGCCAACTACCCCCGATCTCCCGGCAGTAAGGTATACCACCCAGCAAAGCCTTCCACAGCTCCCAGTGCTTGTCGAAAACCCAGATCCCACCCTTGGGAGAGTCTTCTGTCTGTTGGAGCCTGAATTCAATCGCCAGCTCACCTCCACTGCCCACCTATAGCCACGCCAGCAGCATGCTCCTTCCATGCCCGTACCCCTCCCCCCCTTGCCTCGTGGCATCCTGCTCTCCCCACTTCCTCTTCACAGGTAGAGTCATCCTTTCAAAACATCTAACTGTCTTGCTCACAATCCTTTCCTGGTTTATGACAAAAGCCCAAGTCCCTCCTGCAGCCCCATCACCCCGCTGACACCCTCTTCCCCACCTCCTCCCATCCTCCCATTTCACTCCCTCCCTGCATGCCAGCCATGTGAGACTCCAGCTTCCCCTGGGTACCAGGCACACTCCTGCCTCAGAGTCTCTCCCCTTGCGTTCCTTTCTTCTGGGATGTTCCTACTTCATCTTGTCATGTGACTCTCTCCTTGTTTCAGGTCTCTGCCTGAATGTCACCTTCTCAGGGGTCGTCCCTGACCCTCTGATCTAAAACAGCACCTGTCACTCTAGCCTGCCTTGAGTCCTCTTTTTAGCTCTTCTGGGCTCTTATCACATCCCACCATTAAATGATAATATATATCATATTAACTCAATATAGCTGAAGTCACTGACTCCTCTGAGCTCAAGTGTCTTTCTAAGTCAAGATACTTTCTATATACATACATACATACTGGTACATTTTTATTGATTTCAGAGAGGAAGGGTGAGGGGAGAGAGATAGAAACAACAGTGATGAGTGAGAATCATTGATCAGCTGCCTCCTGCATGTCCCCCACTGGGGGGTCAAACCTGCAACCTGGATATGTGCCCTGACTGGGAATCAAATTGTAATCCCTGGTTCATAGGTCAATGCTCAACTCATTGAACCACACAGCCTGGGCAGAGCTTCCTATTTCTTACTGAGGACACAGCAGGTACTGGGTAGATAGTTGTTCAGTGAATAAGTGGATGAATGTGTGGCTAACCGGGCTCAAAGGTGAAGATGGTGACTCAAGGTCAGGTAGGACATTCGTGTGTGAATCCACAGGACAGGGGCCCAGGTCGGCCTTGGTCTCTGACTCAGATGGAGTCTGTGTTTGTGCTCCACTGCCCACGCGGAAGCCCTGAGCACTCCCAGATGCCAATCCCGGGCCAAGAGGGTCCCCACAGAAATCAATTTCAGAGCCCCTTGCGGCTCCCTCCCAGCTCCCGGCGCCCGGCAGCTGGAGGAGAACTGTGCAAAGCTCAGAGCAGATGCCTGGCTCAGGTTGCACAGAGCGGCCCCTGCCTTTGATTTGCCGTCCTGACCCAGACCGTTAGCAGGTGACAGCGTAGGCTCAGAAAGACGGATGTACACTCGGCCCCCGGAGAAACAAAGAAGATGCAGTGGACTCTGGGAGCCCTGCAGGTTCGCCACAGCCATCGCCAGCACCTCATAAATATCCGCTAAGTGCTCGCATGGAAGCGGGGCCAGTGGGCAGCAGGAAGCCAGGGTTTTCAGAAAAATGTCTTTGCTTGGGATGGAAGCATGTCCGATGCAATGATCTGATCTGCAGAAAGCAATAACAGGCTCCAACAGATGCCAGGCTCTTGAAATCTCTCGTCCTCGACACTGAAGCTTCTTATACCCCTTGAGTATTATTGATAAAAGCATTTTTCATGCAAAAGATCCATCCTCACTTGAGATGAGAAAACCAAAGCAGAGGATACAATGGGGACTCATGGACTAGATTCATGCTATCCATGCAGCAGCCATTTAGCCACATGTTGCTTTTGAGGGCTTGACATGTGGCTAATGCAACAGGGACATGTGTGCTCCACCTGTCATACCCACGGGATTTAGAAGGCTTACATGGCGAAAAGAGTAAAATAGTTCCTTCATTCTTTTTATATTGATTATGCTGAAATAATCTTTCAGCTATAGTGAGTGGATATTTGTTAATGTATTATTCAAATTCGCTTCACCTCTTTTTAAAAATTTTAAACGTGTGGCTGCTTGAACATGTAAAGCTGTGTGTGTGGCTCCCATTCTATTTTGCGTGCACAGCACTGGGCTAATGGAGTTTGGACTTCTCTCCATGTTCCCTGATAACATGGGTTCCTGAGTTACTCCTTCAGGTTTACTGAGCCACATGGATGCCTCCGAGAAGCTACAGAGCACATCCTCATTTTTGTTTTGTTTTGTTTTAAATATCCTCACCCAAGGATATTTTTTCCATTGATTTTTATTTTTAGTGGCGTTCCAGTAGCTCGCCATGATCGTATAGTGGTTAGTACTCTGCGTTGTAATTTTTATTTTTAAAAAATATCTTTTATAGATTTTTTTTTTACAGAGAGGAAGTGAGAGGGATAGCGAGTTAGAAACATTGATGAGAGAGAAACATCGATCAGCTGCCTCCTGCCCAACCCCTATGGGGGATGTGCCTGCAACCAAGGTACATGCCCCTGCCCAGAATCGAACCTGGGACCTTTCAGTCCACAGGCCGACGCTCTATCCACTGAGCCAAACCAGTCAGGGCTCCATTGATTTTTAAAGAGAATACAAGGGAAGGAGGGGGAAAAAGACAGAGACATTGATGTGGGAGAGAGAATGTCAATTGGTTGCTTCCTGTAGATGCTCTGACCTGGGCCAGGGATCAAACCTTCAACCGAGGCATGTGCCCTTGACCTGGAATTGAACCTGGGACCCTTCAGTGCGCTGGCAGATGTGCCAACCACTGAACCACACCGGCTATGCCCCCTTCTTCCTTTTTATCCAAGGATCAAGTTATTTGAACAGAGGTGCAGTGAGGATGCTGAGGGCTGATGAGTCAGAGAAAGCCATACTGGCTCGGCGGCGGAAGGCACTCTTTCCTTCCTTTTTCCTGTGTGGTTGTTTGTTAGCATGCATTGTTCCTGAAACAGCAGGGCCAAAGGTTCTGTGCTGGATGTAGACTCCAGCAGCTCGACCCACACTGTGGTCTGCTAGTAACTCCACTGCGTCCTGTCTCAGCCACGGGGCTGGGACAGCATCCGTGAAGGAAAGAGAATGGGTTAATGGGGAGGAGACCCAAGGCTTTGCATGCCTTGTGGGCCTGGCCTGCAGGCCCCGAGTTCCATGTGACTCTGCCCACGGGGATCTGGATGCCCTTATTAGATGCCTAGACACCTCACGCTTCTCATTCAGGAAGAGCAGCCTCACATGCCCTGTAACTCCTGCTCTCAGGTCTTCTGAAGGGGCATCCTGAGGGCTGGACCTTGCAGGGTGAAGCATGTCACACACATCTGGGTGGGAAGCCAGCTGCAGGATTCCCGAGAAGCTATGAGCATCTACTATGTATGGGCCTTAAATTAGGGATGAGGTCAGGGCGATGGCTTTATTATGGGTGATTTCCTTTCTTTTCTTGAAATTTGCTTTCAACTTGTTTCATCTTCTTTTCAAAACCAAAAAAATCATATGCAGACATCTATGTATAGATCCTATAGGAATCCTAAGGACAACACAGGTTTGCTTAATTAAAAATTTTGTTTTGAATATATGTTTTTATTAATTTGAGCGAGAGAGAGGAAGGGAGAGGGATAGAAACATGATGAGAGAGAAACATCGAACAGCTGCCTCCTGCACACCCCCTACTGGGGATCAAACCTGAGCATGTGTCCTGACTGGGAATCAAACCGGGGACCTCTTGGTTCATGGGTTGATGGTCAACCACTGAGCCACGCCAGTAGGGCAAGATTTGCTTTAATTTTGCACCATGTGCACACATTACATGGAAGACACACATGACAGGTCCTAATGTAGCTGTGTAGCTTGGGTAGCCTTGAGACTTCACATGATCTGTGTGAGTACTGGGCATCCCCTGATGGTGAGTGAGTTATATATAGCTTTGTGGATGGGTTGACACCCTGAGTGAAGGTGCCCTGAGTTCAATGGAAAGATAGAGAAAATGTTTTTAATCAAAGGGGTAATCTTGGGGAAAGGTCTTTGAAATCTTTTATTCAAATATTGAGGATTTCTCATCTTATTTTAAATGGCTTAACAGTTTGCAAGGCTGACTGTTGGAAATCAGTAGTGGTCTCTATAAAACAATGTTCCTTGAACATGCAAAAATAGGACCAGAGGGGTCTGGGGGTAAAAATAAAGGGTCAGGCTGCAAGGTTCACGTCCCTATTCCTGTGGCCTCCCTGCTGTGGCTTTCTGAGCCGTGGCTCTCTGAGTTGTGGCTGAGATTGACATGCTCCGAGTTAACCTGTCAGAGGCACCACTCCCTCCCTGCCCTATTGTGGCAGCCCTAGCCCTCCTGTCACCTGTCCCAGTGCTGTCAGCTGCTGGTGGGCCCCAGCGTGTGCTAGCTATAACTGTGGGTCTCAATACAAATCCGTGGTGGTGTAGACCAGCTGAATGGCCCAACTTCCTCCCTTTGTCTGTGCCTCTCTTCCCCTCCCTCTTTTTTTTTATCCGGCTCCTTCCCAGGTGCCAGCTGCCTCAGGAAAGAGCAGCCTTTATGCTGTGCTTCACCTGGATTACGCCCCCTCCCCTTAGCAGTAGCTGTGGAGCCCAGTGACCACACGTGAGGGGGTGCTGTCTGGAGGAGGCAGAGAGGTTGAGAGCATGGGAATGGAGGAGCGGGTGGCTTCCTTCTCTCCTGAGCCGTCGGAGCAGGGCTGGCCTGGCAAGGGCAGAGGTCTAGGCCGGGGGTCAGGCTTCTCCCAGAGGCCACCCCTGTGTAGACCCTAGCTGAGGGGCCTGAGGCCGAGGACAGGGCCTGTTCCAACAGAGCATCCTGCGTAGCTGGGGAGCAGGTGCGAACACAGGGGCTGAGGAGGGGGACAGGAGGAAGCAGACAGATGCAGGTTTCTATGGGATAGGAAGTAAGGAGGTTCCAAGAGCACTGAGCAGCTCCCAGGAGTCACCTGGCAAGAGAACCCTGGCCTTGACCATGGCTCTGATGTGGTCTTCCAGGAGCGGGTGCTCCTGCCTCCTCAGTACCCACCCCCCAGCAGGTGCCTTCTCTTACCAGGCAACATACCAGGTAGCTTTCACCAAATGCTCTCTTTTTTCAAACGTATTTTTCTCCACTCCTGGCACCAGGACTGGCTCTGCCAGAGGTGCTAAGTGGCTGTCATTTCAGGGATTTCTGAGGTTCTGGCTTCTCACCTCTGCATGGCAGGGGTCAGTTTGGGGCCCGGAAACTCCTCCCCTCCCCCACCCCAGGCCTGGCTGATGTGGGAAAGAATGTTTTGAAACTCGTCTCCCCATGTCCCTAAGGGTAGAGCAGCCCACATAGCAGCAGCTCTTCCCCCGTCACATCACGCTGGTCCCGGACAGACAGCGCTCTCTAGGCTGAAAGGTGTCCTCCGTGCATGGCCTTGTGCTCTGGCTCCCTCCCAGGGAAGCTTGAGCTCGGGCAACCCCACCCTCTGCCACGGAGTTCTATGAGACACTGCCCTCTTGGTTGAAGGCCAAAATAATCCTCCTGCTTCTGCTGCACTTGAGTTGCTTCACAGCGACCAAGTATGCGGAGAAAGGCTGCTAGGCCCTGGTGGGTTGGTGTGTGGTGCATATGTGTGCGTGTGCATGCATGCATGTGCATGCATGTATCTGGGTGAGCATGCATTTTTAAGTGTGTACACATGCATGTGCTGGTGTACATTGGACATGGGCGTGTGTGTATGCATGCTGGCGTGTGTGTGCATGCATGCATTGGAGTGTGTATGCGCGTGCAAATGTGTGCACTAAGGTGAGCATGTGTGTGTGATATATGTGTCGGAGCATGCACACATGCATGCACACATGCGTGTGTATTGGTGTGTGCATGCGTGCATGCATATGCGTGCATGTGTGTGCACATACCCTCACAGTTAGCCATGAGGAGCCCAGTGAGCTTGGCCATGCCCAGCTCAGCCCCAGGACCAGGGTCTTTCGGGGACGGCTTCATCTCAGGCCAAGTGCTTAAACTGCAGGAGCCGAAGGCCAGCCCCTGGTGAAAAGCCCTGATGAGCTACCGCCGCCCTCGCACTGCCATGGGGACATTAAGCCTTCAACAGTCTGGCTTTCTGACGGCTGGCTCTTGGTCCTCTGCCTGGAAAAACAGTAGGCGCATAGTAAAAACCTTAAATTCTAACATGTGTAAGTTATACATCTTATTTTCATTTTCAGCCCATGTTCCCCTCTGTACGACATCAGGAAAAAATTACCGTCTGACTTCTAATATCTCAGTGGAGCATTTATCTCCCAGCCATGATAAGTGAGCTTCGATACTTTTTTTCCTTTCAGATTAAGAAACAAATTCATTTAATTTTCTTTATTGAATGTGCTCAGTCTCCCCGGCCCGCCCGCGTCCCCCCCACCCACAGGGTGGACCCCGCCTCTTCTGCACTCATGGCTGGGCTGCTCTCCCTGGGAGTGCAGCTACTGCCACTGCCTTGCGAGAGGAGCCGGACCCCGTCTGGCAGCGCCTGCTGCTTGGGACCCCGTGATGGTCAGTCCCCCGCCACAGCAGAGCGAGGGAAGCAGCAGCCAGGCCTTCCGAAGGCCAGAGAGGTTGGGCAGCCGGGCTAGGCGGCTGTCATCTGAACCTTATCTGAACTCCTGGGTCTAAAGCCTGGTCTGGAGCTCTTGAGAGAGCTGGCTGGTCTCCCGCCTAGAAGAATCTGAGCTTCCAGCTCTGTAGACCCGCAGCTGCAGCCTCCCCTTGGCCTGGCTGCCTGCATTGGTCCCGCCGCTGCCGAGTGGCGAGTGAGAGCTAGGACAGGGCTGGATGTCACTTGCCCAGGGCACGTGGGGAGATCCATGACGCTGCCCTGGGGTATGTGGCATATCCTCCCAACCTGCTCTGGGCGCCAGGAGGCCACAAACTTGGACCTCCAGATGGTTGCCTATTGCTGACTAAAGTCAGTGAGCAGCCTCTTGCAAAACCTCAGCGGCTCACTGGGCTGCCTACTCTGAGACCAGGTTGAGTATTTGGCTCCGTCGCTGGTGCACCTCATACTTCCCCTGTGAGTGTGATGCCAGGGCTGAGCAAGGCCGCAGCCTCTCTGTATCAGGTTGAAGCTCTTGAATTCTATTCCTCCTTCACGCAGCAGCCAGCTCTTCCGCCTGTGCATTTTGATGGGGAAGCTTAACAGGAAAGACCCTGCTGTCACCTGTACTCACCCTGGGACCCTGGCTCAGTCACCTCGCCTTTTAGTTGCCTTAACCACAGCAAGGCGCTATTAACCCCTGCCAGGCCTATCTGGAAGGGTTATTGGGAAGTTTGGGTAGAACAACGTATGGAAAATGTGTTGACATTATAGGCATGCAATAGAAATAAATTGCCCAGGAAACGTCTATGGCTCATCCCTTGCACAAGGTTCTGTATAAAGCTGGCGATAATCTACATCGAGGTTACAAAAAGGTGATGTCACCATCTCAGGAAACTCCCTCATCCAGCGAGGGCTTAGGGCACCGGTCAAGCTAACAGGGCATGACAGTCCTGGGACCGAGGCAGACACACTATGGGAGCCACGTGTAGTCTGCCTGGTAACAAGGTGAAACGTGTCAGAACTGCAGTCCTGTGCTGAGAAGTCCAGACTCTAAGGGCAGTAGAAGCTGGCAAAAGTTTTTAAGTGTGGTAATTCCAAGACCAGGCTGGGATTGGAAGAAAACTTGGTGGCAGTGTGGGAAATAGAAATAAGGTGGCAGTGCCCGGCTGGTGTGGCTCAGGGGTTAAGCGTCAACCCATGAACTCAGGAGGTCAAGGTTGTTTCAATTCCTGATTGGGGCACATGCCAGAGTCGCAAGCTTGATCCCAGTAGGGGGCGTGCAGGAGGCAGCCAATGGATGATTCTCATCATCCATGTTTCTCTCTCTCTCCTTCTCTCCCCCTTTTTTTCTTTTTTTCTTTTTTTTTCTTTTTTTCTTTTTTATTTTATTGATGTTGTACAGAGAGGAAGGGAGAGAGATAGAGAGTTAGAAACATCGATGAGAAAGAGTCATCGATCAGCTGCCTCTTGCACACCCTCTACTGGGGATATGCCCGCAACCAAGGTACATGCCCTTGACCGAAATCAAACCCGGGACCTTTCAGTCCCCAAGCCGACACTCTATCCATTGAGCCAAAGCGGTCCTGGCTTCCCCTTTCTTTCTGAAATCAATAAAAACATGTTTTGTTTTGTTTTAAAAAGTAAGATGGCAACAGCAGCATCCTCACCATCCTGCACCAGGTAGGGCTGGGAAATGACTTGGGTTGTCTGAGCCATTGGCCAAGGTGAGCTCCGTGTTATGAGGACCACAGTGGCCGTGATGACTTCCGGGCCTTTGTCTCTTCCCCATCTAGGGAGTCTCCGGTGGACTGCAGCGTCAGCAAATGCAGCAAGCTAGTTGGCGGAGGCGAGTCCAATGCCATGAACTACAACAGCTACATCGACGAGAAGAATGGTCCCCCTCCTCCCAATATGACCACGAACGAGAGGAGGGTGATCGTCCCCGCAGGTACTGTGGAAACCAGACTGCTGGCATCCACGTCCTCACTCTCTGGGCAAGAAGGGGAAGGGCAGGCCTGTCCTCAAAGCATCTAAACTTTTACCCAGTGCCCTGGTCTCTGTTGAAATTATGCTCTTCTTGCCTTCTCCCTCAGCTGCCTCCCAAGATCCTGTCCCCAGTGTCACCAGATCCCTGAGGCAGATCCCAGAAACCTGCCCTCAAACAGATCCCATCTCAGACTGGTCCCCTAGGGCGAGGCTGGCACAGAGAGCAATAAGGAGCAGGGTGGCCTCAGAGGTCTCTCGTGCCCATCGAGCATGCGCTCCTGGCATGGCATCCGCAGGGTCCCACCTTTTCAAATTATAGCCAGCGCTTTCTGTCCCAAAATAGAAATAACTATATTTAACAAATGGAGTGCCTTACCATGTGTGCAGCAAAGTTATGTCATTATGTAAAAATAGCCTATTTTTTTTTTCCTAGGTATTAGAGCAGTTGGGTACAGAAAATAAAATCATTGTTCGAGCCTTCCGTGCATTGGCCGGACACTCAGGACTCGGCTAGACCAGCAAGCTCAGCCGCCAGGTCCAAAAGGGAGACTGAAAACTGAACCGAGTGGGGTTGGTGCCAGGTAGAAGGAGCTAGAACGTCCAAAACCTTAAGCAACGTGAATTATAGGGCAGAGATTAAGAGTCATTTGACCAAAATAACTCTACCCAAAAGGCAGAGCCCCTTCCATTTGGAAAAATACAAGTGCAGTTGTGTGCGAGGCGAGGATTAGACATCTCTGAGGAAATCCAAAGGCTGTTGCTTCTTGATCTAGAAGGTGTGGGTGTAGGCCTCTCCCCCCAGGCCCTTTGTGTTCATTTTGCATAGGAAACTGTGTCTCCCCATCTCCTGGGACTGCAGTTACACCCAGGTGTGCGGGACCAAGTTCAAGGTGGGAGGGGTGGGGACCTGGGGCCAACAGGGATGTGTCTGTGCCTTGTAGGACCTCAAAGCTGCTCATGAGCCTTTTAAGTTTCCTTCTTCCACAAGCAAATGAGCTCACAAAGGAGGAGAAGGAGGAGCTCCATTGATGAGCACTTTGGGGTACCAGGCACCATTGAAGTACTTCATGCACATTGCATGACCTATGTCACCTCATGCGTGATCTCCTCCAAGCCCCCAGCTAGGACTGTCTAGCTCAGGTGCTTCTATCAGTCAGGTCCAAGAGAACCATGTCTTCTCCCTTCACACCAGAAGGTGGCAGACAATGGAACTGCTCTGCCGTGGGCATGGCGGAGCCTCTGTGGACTCCCCAAGGCCAGGCCAACCCTCACCAGGCCTCTGGCGGTTTGGTATTGAACTCCCCGGCCTCGCCAATGGGAAGGAGATCTTGAGGACTGAAGGTTTAGGAGATCTGAGATTGCCTTAACCCAGTGGTCTGGGAAACCACAGCTCACAAGCCACATGCAACTCTTTGGCCCCTTGAGTGTGGCTCTTCCACAAAATACCACAGCCTGGGCGAAGAAGTTTAGAAGAAGTTTAAGTTTAAAAAATGTGGCTCTCCAAAGAAATTTCAATTGTCCTGTTGATATTTGGTTCTGTTGACTAATGAGTCTGCTGACCCCTGCCTTAACCAAATGTGTACATTTCTGCAGACTCTTTGGGGAGGGCATAGGAAAAAGGGACAAAGGCTGCCAGACTGCTTGCTTGGCCCTTCCACTCTAAATTGGTGCTGAAATATTTTCAAAAAAAATATCAAAATCTCAGTCTTCGGTGGGCCAAGGTAACTTTGGCAGTAATAATGAAAACGGTGTAAATTCATATCAAGGGATTTTTAAAGCACTTTATACTACCGGTAGTATAATGAACTCACTAGCTATGGATTGACTTCCCTGCTTTACCTCTGGCTCAGTCTTTAGCCATGACCCTCAGACACCATGGCTTCCTCCAGGCCAGCCTGCTGGGCATGATGGGAAGTTTCATTGGGCAGGTCCAAATAAGCCTGCCCATTAAAGAGGCCCAGTAGAAGCTGCGGCTGACAGCTGACATGCAGTGCCCCGTCTCCCTCCTCCTCCAGGGCCTTCCCTGACTCCATGCTTACACTAATGTCCTCCTCTTCTGGTTGCTTCGGCTACCACCACAAAACCTATTGCTTAACTCTGTGCATTCCTGCCTGAATGCTTCGTGGGGACAGGTCTTTCATGAGTTCCAGGGCCATGTCATTTTCTTCTTTGATGAGCATGTGTAAAGTGCTTAGGACTCACTATTAATCAGTTGCCAAGGAAAAAGATGGCTTCCAGACTGTGCTAGGTGGTAAGCATGAAGGGCCTCTATCAATGGGACCTGCTGGATTCCCCACCAGCATTCAGAGTGCACCCCTGTTCTCACCCCCTGCCCTTCCCCCCCTGACATTCCTGGTTGAGAAGAAGTCATGAGGGTCTTACATAGAGGTGGCCTCAGTCCTTACATTATTACGGTCCCTGAAAGGGCTAAAGGTTTCTCATCTTTGCGGACTTAAATAGCCTAAAGACGTTTGCAGGATGATCTGGTAGAGATTTGAGCACAGATGTCTCCAAAGAGAGAAAGCGCAGGCTGGTCCATGTTAAGGGCTAACACCCCGGGGTTCGCCATCTGCGTGCACAGATGTGTTCTCTCTGTAGCATCTGAGAGCTCATGTTCTTCCATGAAATCAGCGTTCTCCAGAGGCAGCTGGTTTCCCTTGCCGGAGACGCTGGGCCCTGGTCGCTGGAACTGTGTTTATTTTCACTTGGATGCCACCATTTCTAAAGGCAAAAGCTTCAATGGACTTCCCAGAGTTTTAAAGAGTGTCCTGTCAGGATGTGGAGTGAGGCATCTGAGAACCTCCCCGGCGTGCTAAGTGGTTCAGGCAGCGCCAGATGCTCTGGACCAGATGCAGTTCTGGGAGGACCATCTGGGAGGGAACCCACGTTCCCAGTGAGGATAGGGGGTGGGAAGAGAGAGAGAGTGGGGGAACGGGAAAGGGAGATTGGAGAGAGACAGAGAGAGAGAGAAGGGGAAGGAAGGAGGGAGGAAGACCGAGGGAGGCTACCCAGGCTTGGTGAAGCCCTGGCTGACAGGCCTTGTCCTCTGCAGACCCCACGCTGTGGACGCAGGAGCACGTGCGGCAGTGGCTGGAGTGGGCCATCAAGGAGTACGGCCTGATGGAGATCGACACGGCCTTTTTCCAGAACATGGACGGCAAGGAACTGTGCAAAATGAACAAGGAGGACTTCCTCCGAGCCACCTCCCTCTACAACACGGAAGTGCTGTTGTCACACCTCAGTTACCTCAGGGAAAGTAAGTGCCTGTCCCTGTCTCCTTCTGGGGAGGGTGTCTTCCCCCCCCCCCCCAAAGGGTGCAGCCCAGGTCCCTAGTGCTGGGAGAGACCTCTGTCTGGCCCGCTCCCAACCAGACTGGCTTCCCAGTGAGCCAACCCGGGGAAGGAAGCTGGGTCCCCTGCCGTTGGTGTATGTTGGGCCGAAGCTGTAGGAGCTGCGGGTTTGGGCCGTGAGGTTACCAGGGTCCCGTGGGCTTCGGCAGACCCTGCGAGAGGCCTGACCCAGGGAGTAAAATGAGGAACAGAGAACAAGTAGGGAGCTGTGGCCTAGGGGGTCTGCTTGAGGCTGGCCACACACGTCCCATAAGAACCCCTTCCCAGAAATACCTAGCCCCATAATGACAAATACCCGGATGCCTGGCTCTTGTTGTCCTGAGCCATGATTTAGGGTTCCCACAGTAAGTCTAGATCCACGGATTTAGGATTTAAAGATTTGAACCTATATACATGCAATTCCTCTTATCTTTAGGGTCACTCCAGAGCCTCTTAACCCCACCTTCAGGGATGCCACCTACACCCCTTCCTTACTAAGCAGGAAGGGGGCAGGTGCCACAGGTGGGTGAAGCCTGATCCAGCCAGTCTGCTCTGGAATAGTTTACAGAGAGAGCATGCAGTTGCCCGTAGGATTTCTCCACGATGGGGTTTCACTAACACCAACAATTCCATACAAATGTCATTTGATATGCGCTGTACCCAGAATTCTTTGAGGCCCGTTAATAACCTTGGCCAGTGGTCAGCAATGTTGACGAATGAGTTTGCCGACTACTGCTAAGTCATTACCCTTACCCAGAAGGTTTGACTTCAGTACATTATTAAAATGTTTTAAAAAGTGTTTTTTCCCTAAGGCAGTGGTCGGCAAACTCTATTAGTCAACAGAGCAGCAAACCACGGCTCTCAAGCCGCATGTGGCTCAGGAGCCGCAGTTTGCTGACCACTGACCTTGGCCTTAACTCTTCACCGGAAGTCCAGGCCGGGTGATCTACCAATGGCCCCAAGGATGAAAGGGCTATTCTGTGGCCTAAAGGACAGTACTGATATCGGGAGTTGACGCTACAGATAAACGGATGTGGGCTTGTCCTACGAGAAAGCTGTCTCACAGCTGGCCCTGCCCAGAGACAGACGGGCTGCCTCCGCAGACAGCGTTTGCTATCAGTGGCCAGGACAGCTGGGAATCTCGAAGGTGCTGAGGTTTGGAGGGAAAGGATTTGATGATTCTCAAGCTCCATCGAAGCTCAGATCCTTGGACAGGGCCTTTCTTGTCTCCTGGGCCCTGGGGTGGTGGGTTCTTCATCTGCTCTGCTCTGTCCAGCAGGTCTTCACTTTCTGTCTTGTTGGGCAGCAGTGTACTGCGTGGACCTGGGCAACACTCGCTGGCTGCCAACATTAAACGTGTGAAAGTGCCTCCGGGAGTTTCCCCCGGTGCCCCTGGGCTCCTCGGTCAACCCTCCGAGGCGTCTGGCATCCGGTGGGGAGGGGGGGTGACGCCGTATATGTTACCACCAGAGCCATGACCTCATGTCTGAGTCTTGCGGCAGCAGGAGGTCAGCGCGAGGCCCAGCCATTTCTAGAAAGGGGGCAACGTTCCACCCAGCTTTTTCCGATCCTCAGAGAAGGAGCGTTTTCTAACATCTCTCTTTCCCAGCACTTCAGTGTTTATAGATTTTAAAAAAAAATAATAATAAGGTCTTTGCACAGAACCCTGCAACGAATGATGCTAGCTAGGCCGGGCAGTGGTGGGCGTGGGCATGAGATGCAGAGACCAGCAAAGGGAAAGCACTGGCCGAGCCTGCCTGTGTGCTTCTCCCCACTTCCATTGGTAGGAGGCTAGCGCTCACAGACCCCTTTCCCCCCCACTTTATGGGAGAGGAGATGGACCGAAGCAGCCTGGGGCCGGGTCACCTGTCCTTCCGTTGAGGAGGGCACGGGGTTGAAACGTCTGCACTTGGGCAAGAAGTGGAAGGGAAATAGCTGAGCGTCTCTGCACAGAAGGAGGAAGTGCTGTGGGCTAAGGAGTCAGCAGAGACTCAGACCTGAGCTTTGAGTCAGGGGCTTCGAACTAGCTGTGCTTCCTCGCAGTCTGACCTTCCCGGACTTTCATAGCAAAAGGGAACCTTAGCCTTAGAGGATACAAAACCCTGGCATCACATTTACACGCAGACGCCCTGTCACAGAGGGACCCAAGCCACAGGCCCTGAAGTAAGATCAACATCTGCTCCAAAGGGCCAGGAATGTGGTGAGCTGTCCATTGGCAGCCACTGCGCAGGCTGGCTACTGACGGAGAGCAGATAATAGCAAAAGCGAAGGGGAGGGCAGGCGACGAAGAAGTGGCGGCCAGAGAGTGTGCTATTTGGGGGGTACTGGTAGCAGGCAAGGAAGAGTATGGTTGGTGTCTTTTTCCTTTTTTTTTTTTTAATGTATATTTTTTTTGATTTCAGAGAGACAGAAGCATCAATGATGAGAGAGTATCATTGATTGACTGCCTCCTGCACACCCCACACTGCAGATCAAGTCCACAGTCCCGGCATATGCCCTGACCGGGAACCGAACTGTGACATCCAGGGTCATAGGTAGATGCTCAACCACCAAGCCACACTGGCCGGGCTCCTTTATTCCGTAAGAGTATGTGTGGACATGAAGGAAGATGCCCCAAAGTCATAAAAAGAAAATGAAGTTTCCAGAAAGGAGATTATTAGTGGAACACGTGTCCAGAGTGGAGAGGAGATGGAACAAAGCATACATGTGGTACAGTGTGGAGTGAAACAGCTCATTGGAAATGGGTCTGTGTCTTGATAGAAAAACCACAGCTGCCTGCCAAAGCCAAAACCAAAATGCCCATATCGAGGCTCATACAGGTTCCCCCGGCATAGGACTGGCCCAATCTGCAGGCCTTTGGAGGAACCTAGGCTTACAGTGGCCTGCTGGCCCGGAAGGCAGCTTTGATTCATGCTTCGTTTTCATTGCTGTCTACCTTCAGGCTCTAGCTTCTGGGACACTGTGGCCCCCGGTGGTGGTTGGCCTGCTAGCCTGCGGCAGGAGGTCACGTGGCTCGTGGCCGTCTGCTGCCTGGACAGCTGGGAACCCCCTGGTGTCCACCAGCGTGTCCTCAAATGCAGTATTGGTTTTGCAGATGGACTTCCAGTGGATGTTTTTGTGCTCAGACAGGGAGGCCGGCGCTTCGGGGGAAGAGGCCGGGCCACTGAGCAGAGGCAGGAGGAAGGGATGCTGGTGCCTGGGGCTGGGTCACCTGTCCTTCCGTTGAGGAGGGCACGGGGTTGAAATGTCTGCACTTGGGCAAGAAGTGGAAGGGAAATAGCTGAGCGTCTCTGCACAGAAGGAGGAAGTGCTGTGGGCTAAGGAGTCAGCAGAGACTCAGACCTGAGCTTTGAGTCAGGGGCTTCGAACTAGCTGTGCTTCCTCGCAGTCTGACCTTCCCGGACTTTCATAGCAAAAGGGAACCTTAGCCTTAGAGGATACAAAACCCTGGCATCACATTTACACGTTCTAAAAGGTGCCTGAGTAGTCTTTCTGGTTGTCTGAGAGGGAAGCTTTAAAAGTAAGCACTAAATCCAGGCTGACATGGATCAGTGATTAAGCATTGACCTATAAACCAGGAGGTCACGGTTCGATTCCCGGTCAGGGCACCTGCCCTGGTTGCAGGCTCGATACCCTGTGTGGGGCGTGCAGAAGGCAGCTGATCAATGATTCTCTCTCATCATTGATGTTTCTGTCCGTTTCTCCCTCTCCCTTCCTCTCTGAAATCAATACAAATATATTTTTAAAAAAAAATAAAAGTAAGCACCACATTTTAAATGAATTGTCCAGGGTGGAGAACAAATAGCAATACCAAGCCCCTTCGCCCCCTGCCTGATAGCCCAGCTCGCCTGCATTTATCCGGCCTGCCTGTAGGTGCCTGTCCCTCAGGCCCGGGCTGGTAGGCTGTTCCCACAGAGTGGCCACACCCTGGTCCCGCTGTGACACTGCTCACTCTTAAGGGGGAGGTGAATGGTGGGCTGGGGAAGATGCACAGAGCACTTAGGATCATTCCAGACCTCCTTGGGCTCAGGTGTGCACCTCCCCAGGTGTCATTCACTAGTGTACGTGGACATGACGCCCCCTTGTGGACACCACACAGGCTTCTTACAATCCCCATGTTAAAGCAAAGGCAACTGAGGTTCAGGAATTGGTCAAAGGCAGGCAGCCAGTGGAGAGCAGCTGGTGTCTGAGACCCAGGCCCCTTAAGTCCTGGGCTGAGGCCGGGCCCACAGCCCTCCTTCCCCCCACCTGTGTGGAGAGGGGTCCGCAGACCTCATGCTAACCTGCACCACATCATCTTCCCTTCCCCGTGTCTGGAATCAACCTCCTCCATTGGGCCTGCGATGGAGAGAGCCAGACCACTTTCCCCACAGCCTGTTCTGTTTTTATTTGTCCCAAGAGATAAATGCTTTCCGAAAACTCGCCTGTGGCCTTCTGGAATGAGGCAGATTAAGCCAAACCCTTCACCACACTAACCGTGTCCTTCTCTCCTCCCCGCGGTGCCCACTCAGGACCCGCCTGGCGGCCCCACGGTATCTCTCTGGGCACAGCCCGCTTGGCAGGGGCCTTATTTACAGCCGTGGCTGCGGGAAATGAGATTGGGTGGGACCTCAAAGGAAGTGAGAGCCGGTTCCCCAGCTGGCAGTTCAAAAGTGGGGCCACTGGGGGGGGGGGAGTTTGGGGTTTCTGGGAGCCCAAAAGGTCCTGGGTGGGGCGCCCTGGGCAGAAGAAAGAGACTTTTATCATTTTATAAAATAAGTTGGGTTCCATAGGTATAACCGGGTCTGGCCTGTGAACATTTCTAAGAAACTGTTTTTATTTATTTATTTATTTATTTATTTATTTGTTTATTTTTAATATATTTTTATTGATTTCAGAGAGGAAGAGAGAGGGAGAGAGATAGAAGCATCAATGATGAGAGAGATCAGCTGCCTCCTGCACGCCCCACATGGGGAATCGAGCACAAAACTCAGGCACATGCCCCGTCCGGGTTCATAGGTCGGCGCTCAACCACTGAGCCACTACCGAGGGGCTAGGAAGCTGTGTTTTTCAGTAGGAGCGGCATGAGGGATGAAATATGTTGTGTGACAGGGAGGCCACAGCGTGGGTATCTGTCTTGATTCTCGTTTTTAATTTAGACTTAATGGGAAACACATTTCGCGTGTTGTGGCATTCCCACCGGCAGCTCAGACAGTCGGGCCAAAGGTGATGGGCCCGGGCCATTAAGCCGGTGAAGTATTATCCCTGGCAGGCCCGGGTCCGACCCGGGAAGGACAGGGTTCCCTCAGAACAAAAGGCCAGGTTCCCCTGGACAGCCCCTCCTCCCCTCTGCCCTCGGCCCTCCCCACTGGAGCCATTGACTTGATGCAGAGAAAAGGGAGCCCCGGCTTCAATAGACAGGAGAGAAAGGCTTTGGCACTGGGACCCCGTTGTTGCTCCTGCGCCAGGTGTCCCCGATGAAGTGCCCCTTTGGGGGGGGGGGCAGCACAGAGGGGAAGAAAGCCCCATTGTCGGGCTCTGCCCCACACCTGCAAAGCGCCGCTCCGCTCATTCCCATCTTTGTTCAGGCCCCAAATACCGGCTCCAGGATGGGTCCCAAGTGGACGTGGATTTTTTGTGATTCTGTTGTCAAACTGGGAAGGCCATTGCATTCTCAACAGCAGCTACTTCATGCTTCTCGGGGCCCCCACTAAATAGAGAGACACACAGGCCTGTACGCACACAGGAATACGAGACAAAGAAGCACGCCAATTGTCATCATGGATGCAAAATGTACGGAGGGGGGTGGAACTCATGACTGTGCCATTCAAGGAGTTATCACAAGGTGAACCCACATGCTCGTTTAAATGCCCCCAGGGCAAAGGGTAGACTAGCAGGCTCCCCCCCCTCTATGCCCTCTCTCCATCATCATCTCCCTAAAGGTTAGCACCGTGTTGACTTCCACCCCCATTCGTGAGTGGTGTATCTCTTCAGTTCAGCCTGCAGGCTCTGCTGGACCCAAATGGGTCCAGGGCTTTCTAGCTGTGTGACACTGGCCAAGTGACTTGACTTCTCTGAACGTTGGTTTCCTCAGCAGTGAAAGGGGGATCACGTGATACGGGTAAGGGTAAGGGTTAAGTGAGAGAACAGAGAAAGCGCTTGCCACAGTGAGTGTTTGATGACTTGGCTGCCTCCCCCTCATCTCAGCCCATTTACTCTGAGGTGGGGCATCAGGAAAGACAGGGGCGGGGGACGCTCTCAGTGGACATTAGCCTCACGCAGAAGGAGCCTCAGAGCAGGAGAAAGAAATCCACAGTCACAGAGCGGGAGGCCAGGCTCGGAGAGGACCTCCTCCCAGCGGAACAAGTTCCCTTAACACCAGAGTGTGTGGTGCCACCCTCCATAACCGGAGGAGAGAATGAGGATGGAGAAGGAAGGGGGTGTGGTCCCTGGGGGTGGGGGCAGATACCCGCCCCCCCCTCCCCCCGAGAAGGCAGCCCCTCCTTCTAGGAGTGAAACTTGACCCAGGAACAGTCTTGAGGGCAAAACCCATTCCCTAGGTCACCGTGAAAGATGTATTTCATGCGAGCTTTGCAGAGGTCAAAGGACCCTTTCTCTCGGCTTTTTGGGAGTTTCCTGTGGAATTCTCGTGTGCCCAAACCAGGGCTCTCACCCCGGGGGGGAAGTTTAATAAATGCGGTTTATCTAAGCTCCGTGCTCTTAGCTAAATCTGCACTAATGACTCAGGCAGCGTGCTCCTCTGAGACCATCATTTTTCTTTATTTGCTCCAGCCGTGAGGTTTCAGCCTTGGGAGGAGTGATGGGGGGAGGGAATGTCGGGGACAGAGAGGCAGACATTCTTGGTCTCACTCCTGAGACGTTTTCTGATTCCCCTGGAACGTTTGGTTCCATGTCATTGCCCGCTTCCAGGCATGAGGGATTATTCCTTCTTTTTATTTTTATTTTTTGTTTTTATTTTTTTAAAATATATTTTATTGATTTTTTACAGAGAGGAAGAGAGAGGGATAGAGAGTTAGAAACATTGATGAGAGAGATACATCGATTAGCTGCCTCTTGCACAAAGCCTATTGGGGATGTGCCTGCAACCAAGGTACATGCCCTTGATAGGAATTGAACCCGGGACTTTTCAGTCCACAGGCCAACACTCTATCCACTGAGTCAAACCGGTTTTAGCTTCCTTCTTTTTTTAAATTTTATTTTATTGTTTCAAGTATTGCATATAGTAGTACATATATCTCTTTTTCTCCCCCCATTGACCATCCCCCAGCCTCCCCTACCCCTTGTCGTATGCCCTCATCCCATCCCCTCCCCCAGTGTCTTGTGTCCATTGGTGTGCTTATATGCATGCATACATTCTTTGGTTGATCGCCCCCACACTCCCCAGCCTTCCCATGCCTTCTTGCAGGAGAACCCATTCGTAACTCTGATTCCAGAGGCCAGGATCATGCTCCATAAAGCCTTTGATAACAGCTTTATTGTATGTAATCGTGGTGTCTGTGGGAAAGGGGATACACAAACAGCCATGATGATAGTTAGCATTGATTGAACACGTATTATGAGCCAAGGACTTTTGGAGCAGTTTATATATATCGTCTTATTTGGTCCTCACAGTGCCACACTAGGTGTTATTGTTAGCCCATTTTATAAATGAGGAGCCCATGGCTTAGAGAGATGAGCTATACTGATGGATCACAAGGCTACCAAGTGGTAAAAGGAGCTCTAATTTTATTAAAATACTAGAGGCTTGGTGCAAGAATTTGTGCACAGGTGGGGTATCTTGGCCAGACCAGCGATCAGGGCTGATAGAAGCCAGCCAGGGGGAGGGACCATGGGAGGTTGGCTACGGGAGCACACTGACCACCAGGGTGTAGCTGCTGCATTGAATGTCATAGCTATTGGCTGGTCATCTGGTCCTCTGGTCATAACGGTCTTGTAGGCTTTTATATAGAGAGATATTTTTATTGATTTCAGAGAGGGGATTGAGCCCATGACCAAGGCATATTCCCTTGATCTAACCTAGGACCCTTCAGTCTACAGGCTGACACTCTATCCATTGAGCCAAACTGACTAGGGCATGAGGGAGGGGGCTCTAATTTTAAAGCCTGATTTGCATAACATCTATATTAGGATGAGGTTGCCCCAGCCTCACGTGGTCTCCAATATTTCTGAGAAAGGAATAACCAAAGGCACCTGGTTCATGGAACTTGCGTGTGTGTGACTGTCTCCTTTCTAAGCCGGTGACCATGTGGCCATACTCTGTCACCACCTCCGCCCTTCTCTTTCTTGTCTGAAAGGATTTCAGAGCCAGAAAGAAATCGCCCAGGCCAGGAGTCAGAGGTTCTAGGCAGATGGATGATTTTTCGAAAACTCTCTCCCTCGGCGTCTGGCTGGGTAGGGCACACATTTTCTGGGCGGCACGCAACCGAACGCCCACAACTGGGCGAGGCAGCAGCTCCACTCGCCTCCCTGCCCTGGCTGAAGACTAAAAATAGGAGTGTCTGCCAGCCGGGTCCCTGCCCGGAGCCCTGGCACCCGAGCCAGGCAGCTCAGCCCAGGAGCAGGGAGGGCTGTGGTGGAAGACTTGTCAAGCTCTCGTGTCCCTGTGAAAGCAGATTCCAGCCCCTCTGGGGAGCGCCTTAGTTTCCCCAGGAAAATCTCCAGGAAACTTGCACAAAAAAAATAATAATAATAAGCTGATATTTTACAAAATAAAACTCTTGAATGTGCCTGAATCAGAGGAACAACCAGTTTTAGGAAAGAAGGGATGACAACAAAAACTATTTCCTTTTATTTTTTTTATCCTTGCCCAAGGTCATGCTTATGGATTTGAGAGAAAGAAGAGGGAGAGGAAGGGAAACATCAACAGGAGAGGAACATCCATCAGTTGCTTCCCATATATGCCCTGACCGGGGATCGAACCCACAACCTTTTCATAGTATGGGATGGCATTCCAACCAACGGAGCCACCCAGCCGGGGCACAAGCTGTTATGCCTTTAAAATGCCTGCACTAGTGCCCGATACAGACTAGGTCCCCGTTAAAGTGTCATTTTAAAAGATTGTATGTCAGCCCTCAGGGAGGACAGACAATCCAAAGTATGTTGCCTGGCATTTAGTTGTTGTCTCCTCGTAGACATATGCAAAAGGAGGCAACATTACTATTAGTGTGTCCCCCCACCCCCACCCCAGCTCAGTGACTGAGCATCCAAGTGCCTGGCCCCCCAGCAAAGGGACCTGCACAGAAACCCAGAGGCCATCGGAGCAGGAAGCAACTGCTCAGACCTCTCCTCCAGGGCCTGGAAGGCCCGAGCGGTCAGCCAGCGCTGGCCAACTCTGGCCCGTGTACAAAACAAAACAAAAACAAAGAAGAATGTGCGGCTGCGACTGTGCCTCAGGCCTGCGGGGCCTGGACTCTCGGCCGGCCTCAAAGCGTGCCAGCCCCGGCTGCAGATCAAACCCGTCATTTTGCTGATGAGAAATCACGGTCTAGACATATAAAGCTGCTTACGGGGTGTGAGGGGCAGAACTGGGACGGGCCCTGGTGTTCCAATTCCTTGTCCTCCGTGTTCCTGCCATGACGTGGCATGGCCCCGAGGAGCTCTGAAGCATGAAGGCTGCTGGGAGGGCATGTGTGTGTGTGTGTGTGTGTGTGTGTGTGTCCCACCAGCAATCGTTCTGTCCTCGCCCGCTCTGACCCTAACCCAGGAAGCCGTGACAGTCCCCAGGGTGGATCCCAGTGACTTTTTCTTTCTCCCAAGGACTCATCGGTCCCCCGTCTCGTCTCTCTGTCTCTGTCCCTCCCATTCACTCACTTCGCATGTCACCTCCTACTCTTCTTTGCAGGACCGAGTCTGGGTTCTAACCTGCTTTTGCTTTTGCCTTTCAGGTTCACTGTTGGCCTATAACACCCCCTCTCACACAGACCAGTCCCCACGGCTGAGTGTCAAAGAAGGTAAGTCTGTTCCCTTGTGGACCTAGAATGTTCCTCGGTTCCGTGCTGCTGAGATGGGTGGGGGTCTCAGGTCTGTGCACGGCCTTCTGGTTTCACACAGCTTTCTCTCGCACACGAGACAAGAGAGACAAGATGCCAGAGCTTATCCTGCTTGTGCCACTGGTTGGGAAAAAAAATACCACAAGCTTTCTAAATGTTGTGTCATAATATCATAAAGATATGACTCAAAAGTTGTGACCCCACAAAAGAAAATGTTTGGTCATCGAATGACATGGATATGGTTCGCTTTCTAAGCTGAAAATTGGGTTTTCCCTGCTGGGGATAATGAAATAAAGGTCGTGGGGATGCTTGCAATGCTACATTTCAAAGTTCTGAGAACAAATTTTCACAATTCCGAAGTGGTGATTTGAGGATTTAGTCTAGTTGGTTTGGTTTGGTTTGGTTTGGTTTGGTTAAGGGAGAAAGAAAACAGACTTCGCAAACAATGTTTGCCAGTGACAATTTTAGCAAAGATGACAATAGCATTTCTCAGCATCTTTATTTCTGAAACAATATGGTAAATGTTTATTGCTCCAGATACTGTGCTAGAGTCTAGGCTTTTAAACAAGTGGATAGAATGATCTGAGGGAGAGAAAAAAAAATGTGAATGAGAAAAATCCACCCAAGGCAAAAGAAAAATTTCTTGGAAGAGAGGATTCTTATGTGGGGACTCTGTAAAAAAATATCAATAAAATATATTTTTTTAAAAAAGAATGAATAGAAGCATGACAGACATTCTCTCTACCTTGCTCTCTCCTTCACTACTTTCTCTTTAGTTGCACATCTGCCATTATATAGAATGAAGGCAGAAGATTTTAGTGTTGGTTGCATTTAGAGTAACACAGTATAATATTCCAGAGAAACATAATGTCCTTCTAATGGAAGAAAGTTCGAGAGCATTTGGTTCAGAATCCTCATGGGTTGTGGAGGAAACAGACACCCAAACTGCCTGGGTGTCTTGGCCAAAGCCACACCTTTGATCACATAGGACTTTGTGCTTCTTGTTAATAACTTATAATCAAATGATGACCAAAAGAAATTAGTGGAGAAAATATACAACATGATGAACCTGATTGTAAACTTCTGTGGTTTTCACTTGCTTCCTTCTCCCTTACCCCAACCTGGGCCGGTCTTATTTATGCTACTGTTTTCCTTTCCAAATCACATGTATTTCATTTCGCCAGACATTCTTGCAGTCCAAGCCACATTTTACTTGATGGCCTATTTAATACCATGTTGATCATCTCAATAAGAGAGAGAATGTAGCCCAGCTGACTTGGTTCAGCATCATCCCAAACATCGTAGAGGTCGCTGGTTCGATTCCTCGTCAGGGCAGAAGCCCTGCTTGTGGGCTCCATCCCTGATAGAGGGAGGGCAGGAGGCAGCCGATTTATGTTTCTCTATCCCCGATGTTTCTATCTTCTCTCCCTCTCCCCTCCTCTCTCTCTAAAAAATTAATAAAAACATTTTTTTTAAAGGGGAGAGAAAATGTATTAGAGTAACACCCTGGCTTGGTGGTCAGGGCACTTTCTTTGGGGAAACCCCTTCCTCTCCTGAGCCTTAGTTTCCCAGCAAGTGAAGGCTGAACTACGAAGTCAGCTCCAGTCGAGCCCAGCCTCTCCAGCTGTGGCTCCGGAGGCAGGACTTGGGGCCACAGAGGGAGGGCTCTGCCTCCAATCACAGCCACGCTGCTCCCATCTGTTTCAATTCCAGAACTTCCTTCCCCTTGCAGACAGGCACCCACTTCTTGGAAGGAGGGAAGGAAAGAAGAGAAAGGGAGAGGAAGGGAGACCTGGAGGGAGAGGGAAAAAGAGGAGTGAAGGAGTGAGGGAGAGAGGGGGAGAGAAAGAGAGACGGAGGGAGGAAAGGAATAAGGAGATCCCTCAAAGTCCCTCCAGCCCCACAGGCTGAGGCTAATGAGACTCTGGGTCTCACAACAGATTTTGATTTGGAAGCCGGTTTGTCTGAGCTGAACTGTATTAATAGCCACCACATTGCTCCCCCGGGGGTCTTAGCTTTCAGCCCTCCCCCCTACCTGCGAGTTGCAGTCCCTGATCCTTTTGTGTGCAGGGAGTACATCTGTAAGGCCACGGGCTCATTCAGGCATCCCAGGAGCAGCTCACTAGCTAGGCAGCGACCCTCTCCTGACATGAATGAGCTGCATGAGCGGCAGCATCCTGGCGAGTGCCCGCTGTGCTGCCAGATCGCATTCAGGTGCTGCCGGCACTTATCTCCGTGCGTTGGCCCCGGCCTCCTGAGACGATTAGGGCTGCGCTTTGCAGGTGCATCTTTTGTCCCCAGGAACGCTTCCCACTTGAGCTGTCATGCTGCTGTGTCACCTCCCCCCAGTGAGGTGGTCAGACCTCAGCCACAATGCAAAGTGCATTAGCAAGACAAAGCTAATCAGGCCTCTCTATCCTCCCCAATTCAATAGCCTCCCACCTCCTCGCTCCTGCTTTTCTCTCATCCCTACCTTTAGTTCTTAAAATACTAAAGGGGAAAAATAAAGGGGACACACAGTGCAATCCTGGCTCCGTGATGTTCAAATGAAGAGACACACAGAGCCCCCACACAAACCGAGTCCCTCTGAAGCACCAACTGCGTGCGTGTGTGCGTGCGTGGGTGCCTGTGTGTGTGTGCATGCACACACATACTTCACACAGGGCAGGTGCTGGCACCGGGCACAAAGGAAAGAAGTTCAGGAGGTGATGTCTATGAATGCTTCTTCAATGCTCTTATCAAAGTAGAATGCCTTTTGACTTGGCACCGGCCCAATCGTTCCCCCCCACCCCACTCCCCCTCACCCCCAGCTTGTCTCTTGAAAATGATTGCACGCTCTAAAGGTTATTTGTGCCCACAAAGTAAGACTCATTTTTAACATTTCATCTATAGCAGCCTGAAGCCCCTTTATGAAATAGTCTCTGGTCGTAGAGGGGACCCAGCTAGAACAGTTGTTCTTTCTACTGTTCCTTATCAGGGCTCACGCACTTGAGTCATGCAGAATGGAAGCATTCATTGCCCATTTGCAAGAGCAGCCACCGCCATCATCTGTGTAGAATGTAGAATTCACAATGCTTCAGACACATTCACGTGCTGTGCCTCTGCTCTCCAGCCCGGCAGCTTCCCTAGGCGGTAGATGTGGTTCTTTCCATTTCGCAGACGGAAACAGTGAGGCCGGGCGATGTTAAATTGCTGGCTGAAGGGCACCCAGGGACTCGACAGCGGAGCAGGACTCAAACCCAGGCTGTGGGATTCAACATTTCTTGCTGCAGAAGGTGTGCCTGACAGACAGCCCGTCCCCTTTGGCTGATGTTGCATGGAAACAAGACCCGGCCTGAGTGTAGTTCGGGTGGAGATTTTAATTCCCCCATTATTTTTCTCTGTCCCTGCAGTTTTCCCACCCTCATCCCCACCTGCATCCCTCTTCTACCTTCTTTCCCCAAAAACGAATTCATACGCACCCCCACTGTCCTCACTACACACAGAACCGCCTGCAGAGCTTTCTTAAAAATACTGAGGCTGTAGGACAAATACTGTGTGACTCCACTCCTATGAGGTACTTGGCCAGGCAAACAGAAAGTAGAATGGTGGTTCCAAGGCCCGGGGGAGGAGGAGGAGGAGAGGAGGAATGGCGAGTTCTTATTTAATGGGACAGTTTCAGGGTAGAAAGATGAAACGTTCTGATTGTTATGCTTCCACAGCATGAACACACCGAATGCCACTGAAACATAGACAGGAAAGTGGCCAAAATGGTAAATCCTTTGTATGTTTTACAACAATAAAAATGTAAAACATAAAGTAAAAAAATTAGATACTGGTGCTCAGATCCCAAACATGGCCAGTTAATTCATGAGACCATCACATTGCTTAACATCTTCTTAGGGAGCTACACCTACAGAACTATTAAGGAATACTAGGAATCTGAATATCGCCAATTAGAAAACCACATGCTACATATTAGAAGCTCTCTGAGAGTGACGAAGGGAAGGAACATCATTAAATGCTAAAGTTGGACATCCATCCATGCTAACTTCTCATGTGACAGAAGGGACAGGAGGCCAGAGACATTGCGGGTCCAGCCAAGGCCACACGGGAACCCAACAGCAGGTGGTAGGGCTTGAAGTCACTCAGCAGTGTGGTCAGGAATGGACCGAGTCTGTGATCCCTGCCCTTCTCCACTCCATCCATTCATCTCCTCATTTATGAAGAGCCCACATGTATGGGACACTAGGCAGAGCCCAGGAAGTAGGGTGCACAGCCGGCATCTACCCTTAGGGGGCTTACAGTCAGACTCACAAAGGGTCAATAAGTTATTAACTGTGCACCCTTGCTACACCCTTCTAGGCTATCCTTTCTGGCTGAATTGTAGAGGCTAATGGGAGGCCTCTAGAAATATGCAACATGGTTGAGCTAGGAATGGGTATTGAAAGGAAGGGATGATGGTAGACAAGGAAGGCACCAGCCAGTGTGCCTGGGTCTGTCATGCACTTAATAGGAGTTCTGGTGTGGGAGCCGTGTGTGTGTGTATGGGTATGTGTGTGAATGTATTTTTATTAATCTCAGAAAGGGAGAGGGTGAGAGGGACAGAAACATCAATGATGAGAGAGTCATTGATCACCTACCTCCTGCACGCCCCCTACTGGGAATCAAGCCCTCCATCTGGGCATGTGCCCTGACTGGCAATCAAACTGTGATCTCCGGGTTCATAGGTGGATGCTCAACCACGGAGCCACGCAGACGGGGCAGCCCTGTGTGTTCATGTTGGGTTTGGGGGAAGGGACCATGGGAGTTCCTGGGGGTGTGTAGGAGTATGTCCTGCGGGGGCACCAAGGCCTCGGTGTGACATGAGCTCACGAAACTGAAAGTGGGCTGTGTCACTGTGAGACAGGAAGCTCAGCAAAGGAGCGGAGCCAGGGATCTGCTTCAGAACGACCAGGATGGGAGGGGGAGGGGGAGCGGGA